CAGTGGTTCACATCTGCAATCCCAGCACTTTGGGAGGCCGAGGTGGGCGGATCACGAGGTCAGGAGATTGAGATCATCCTGGTTAACACGGTGAAACCCCATCTCTACTAAAAATACAAAAAATTAGCCAGGCGTGGTGGCGGGCGAACCTGGGAGCGGAGCTTGCAGCGAGGACCAGATCCCACCACTGCACTCCAGCCTGGGCCAACAGGAGTGAGACATTGTCTCAAAAAAAAAAAAAAGAAAGAAAAGAAAGGAAAAGAAAATAGGGTTTCTGTGGATGTAATTAGTCGAGTGGAGGTCATCCCACAACTTGGGAGGCCGAGGCAGGAGGATCACTTGAGGTCAGGAGTTCGAGACCAGCCTGGCCAATATGGTGAAACCCCATCTTTACCAAAAATACAAAAAATAGCCAGGCGTGGTGGCATGCACCTGTAATCCCAGCTACAGGGGAGGCTGAGGCACGTGAGGCGGTAGTTGCAGTGAGCTGAGATCATGCCTTGCACTCCAGCCCGGGCAACACAGACTCTGTCTCAAAAAAAGAGAAGGTCATAATGGAGTAGTGTGGAACCCAAGTCCAATCCGACTGGTGCCCTTTTAAGAGGAGAAGAGACACAGACCCACAGGAGAAGACATGAAGTGGAGACAGACACAAGGGGACAAGGAGGCCATGTGACCACAGGGGCTGACCCTGCGGTAACGCAGATGCCAGTGAGGGGACATCACGGATCACCGGCCACCAGCAGAAGCTGGGAGCAAGGCACAGAGTCTCTCTCTGAGTCCCCAAGAAGGAACCAGCCCTGTTGACACCTTCATTTTGGATTTGTGGTCTCCAGAACTGTGAGAATAAATTTCGGTTGCTTTAAGCCCCGATGTGTACTTCTTTGTGAGAGCAGTCCTGAGAGAAATAAAGGTGACCTGGCATTACTGTCTGTCTAGTGCCTGAATTCTCTTGCCCAATGGTCCACTAGCCAGGCTAGGTTTGACCGTCTCTAGTAAAAGCATTCTCCAATAAACGAGGTCATTTCTGATATTGTTATGAAGAAAATAAAACACTATAATATGACAGAGTGAGTGGACAGGGATCAGAGGAAAAAGAACATTATTCTGACTATTAGGAACGGTCTCACTAAGGATGTGATACTGCAGCAGTGATGGGAACAGCAGGAAGCTGGCCATGGAAAGGGGAGGAACAGCCTGTGCAAAAGCCCTGAGGCAGAGTCATTTTGGCACTCGCAAGGCACAGGAAGAAGGCAGGACCTTGGTGAGTGACAGCAGCAGTCGATGAAGCTGGAGAAACAGGCAGGGTCAGTCAGCACCTGCGCAGTTGCCCTAGTTGACCAAGGTCTTGGGAAGCTGCTAGAGACAGACACGATTTAACTCAGAGTTTTTAAATGACCACTCTTGCACAATCACGGTCTTAAAACTGAAGTCTGAGGTGCAGTGGTACAATCTCAGCTCATAGCAACCTCCACCTCTGGGTCTCAAGTGATCCTCCCACCCCAGCCTCCCTAGTAGCTGGGATTACAGGTTTGCACCACCACGCCTGCCTAATTTTTGTATATTTTTTGGTAGAGATGGGGTTTCGCCATGTTGCCCAGGCTGGTCTTGAACTCCTGGGCTCAGGTGATCCGCCTGCCTTGGCCCCCACAAAGTGCTGGTATTCCAAGTGTAGCCACCACACCCAGCCAAGGCCAAGTCTTTCTATTACTTTTGTCCCTTGGTTCTTGGAACCCTGGGCTTAATAAATCACAGTTCCCAAGCTTCTCCAGGCTTACATCTAATTCATTCACCACTGTAGCAGTTTCCAATGAAAATGCTTATTTTTTTCTACACCGTTCATTACATGTGATGTCCAGAAAAGAACACAATGTTCTAAGCATGGAGTAGACTGGGACTGTCCCCTGTTTCATTCCAGACCTATACTTCTGTTCATCTGCCCGGGGTTGCCTTGGCTTTCCATTGTTTTATACCACTGACTTGCCGAAACATTTATCGGCCAACCTCCCCCGAAGTCCTATTTGTGATGCCCAGATTTAGACAGTGGGATTAAAACTTGTTCTTCCCTCATGAGAACAACTACGCCTTTTTGGAGTTTTTTTTTTTTTTTTTTTTTTTTCTGAGATGGAATCTTTCTTTGTCACCTAGGCTGGAGTGCAGTGGCGCAATCTCCGCTCACTGCAACCTCCACTTCCTGGGTTCAAGTGATTCTGCCTCAGCCAGGATGCCAGGATTACACGTACCCGCCACCATGCCCAGCTAATTTTTGTATTTTTAGTAGAGACGGGTTTCACCATGTTGCCCAAGCTGGTCTTGAACTCCTGACCTCAGATGATCCACCTGCCTCAGCCTCCCAAAGTGCCGGAATTACAGGAAAACGACAGCCACCGCGCCCAGCCCTATGGCTTATTTTTAAGTGTCACCATAATGCATATAATGCCACATATAAAAAACGGTTTAGAATAAACAAAGTTACTGGGTCAGCTCCCTTGGTTTCACAACCATTGCATTTCTCTTTCGGGTGGAGGACAAGGAAAACGATTCTAGCAGGCTGCCCGAGAACTGCATGCTCTCTTGCCTCACACAGCTGAAGACACCTGGGCTATGTGGAAATACAGAGACTTAAGCAAAAGACGCTCTTTGAAATCATACTTCCTATTGGATTTCTCAAGGACGTCCAAATAAATCTGAGTCCACGCAGACTACCTCAAGCTTGGGGCGGGGGCAGGGGTGCTGCGGCGGATTCGGTAAGCCGGGCAGGTGGTGGAAGAAAAGGATGTTTTGCAAGCCTCTGAGGACCCCTCGTGTGAGGCACAATCCACCCGGATCTGCCCCACTTCCCATTCCACAGAGTGGTAAGGGCTGCTATATCCAGTGTCAGATGGCTGGGCTGATCACTTCACTGTGCCCACAGTAGCAAAGTGACCCTAGGCAAGTCACTCAGCCTTAGTTTCCTCATCTGTGACATGGGAATGGTAACAAACCCATCCTGATTGCCAAGCTTATAATGAAGATTAGCCACGAGTCTGCGTGGGAAAACCCTTGTGAAATATGAAAGTGAGGGTTATTATGGACAATAGGGTTTTTACTCCTGCCTTTGCATGTCTTTCCTGCTGCTGGTTGACTTCTCATGATTTTTTTTAAAAACTGCCCCAGGCTGCTTTTGGTGTTTTTTTTAACCTAATTACTTTTGCTTTATGAGAGAAAGGAGGGAGAAGGTGGGAGGACAGAGAGGCAGGCAGCATGACTCATCCCACCCCAAACCCTTCCTGGGGACTGTCCTCAAAGATGCTCCTCAGAGCCACTGGGGCTACTATAAAGCAATTCACCTTTGAAGAAGCAGTTATTGTCATGAAAAGAGAGCCATAGCCAGTATCTATGGAAATCCTCCACTTTCTGGCATTCAGCAGCAAATTATTTAAGGCTTGTGATTTACTCCGTCACCAAGTGGCTTCTCATTGCCTTTGGCTGTTACATCTCAAATAACGCAAACCAACCTTCACACTAACTGACACGTCCCATACAAAAGGCAAACACGGCCAGAAACGTCAGAATGTAACACAGAGAGGCTAGTGATGATCTGATCGTGAAGGCTGCCTACATGTGAGTCCCACGCCATCTTCATCTCTTTAATGGAAAAAGAAAATCTCATGAGTCAACTTTTTCATTGCGAGCCAATCTCAATAGCCTTTCGTCCCGTGCTTCAAAGGCGTAAGCAGTCCTATTTCTGAACAAAGTGGAAATAAAAACAAGTGACAGCCAGAGACACTGAACAATGGAGAACATACGCTTCCCAGGAGAAATGGGGGGAAGACAGGAAGGAACGCTCACATGCAATATAACCCACACCTTTTTCCTTTGCACGATTCGGTGTTAAGCATTTCTCTGCCCTGCTTTTAGGTTGAGGGAGGGGGTTGCCTCTAAGGAAATGAATCTGAAACATCAACATCCAGTCACAGCCTGGCTAAAGCAGCCTTGGCCCTGACAGCTGTCAGCCTGCCTCTACCACTGACTCACCACAGCCACTACCTCCACGTCAGGGGCGCCTCACCTGTGCCAGCTCAGAGGCTGTTCCTGCACAATCTGGAGGCTGGGACTCATGCCTGGCCCCTAACTAGAGAGGAAGAGGACCCAGCTGGTGCCCCTGCAAAGTCTTTTTTTCCTCTTCCCCTTTTCATCTTCCCAAGTCTAATCAACCTGCAACCCAGGGAAGCACAAACCCAGGACAAGGGCAGGAATGGGGGGCACGCACCCAGCTCCAGAACACTCAATTCTGTCCTTTCCAAGATCCTCTAAACGTGTTCAATTCCACCTGATCCAGCGGTCCTAAACTCAGCTGCTAAAACCGCATTTCCATTGCTATGCTCTCTGCAATCCTCCCCTTTGCTCACGGGCCCATCAAGAGCAGAGGGAAGAGGCAGAATGGATAGGGCTGGCCACCCAGGCCTGGAAGCCCCTTTCTCTCACCCCACCCTGCTAGCCCCGGGAGCGGTGAGGCAGCAACTTCATCAACCCGCACACACGCACGATTCGCCAATGTCTTTACCTCCCGGGTCCCTGCACCCTCTCCCCAGAATGCCCTTGCAGGAGTCCGGGATTTCTTCTTCCTCCAAGACTGGGACACCAGCTCCATCCCAAAGCCACCTGCTGCCACCACCTGCCCCCGGTTTGGGGGCGCCTCCTCCCGGCAGCGGCCCCGGTTGCACTCATTCACCGGCGTCCGCACTGCCCCTCCGTCCACGGGCTCCCAGCGACCTTCCCCTATTCCCCTTGCTCCCAGCAGGCGAGGAGCCTGCGGAGAACCGCGGCTTGAGCCCCCGGCCCGCGAGGCCCCGCCCCCGCCTACCCCGCGGACCCCTCCTCCCTCCTCGCGCCCCCCGCCCCACGGCGCTCCCAGCTGTCACCCCTCGCAGACCCCCGTCCCGGGTCCCCGCCGTCCCTCCCGGGTCATCCTTCCCCTCACGAGCCTGTCAGGCCTGCCTGAGGACGCCCCACCGCACCTCTCACCGCGGGCACACAGCGCAGCGAACCGGCGCCGTCGGACTCCGCGGCTGCGGCGACTGCGCCGCCCGCGAGCAGCCGGGTCCTTTCCCGATGCCGCGGCGCGAGCTGTCAGTCAACTGGACGTGCCCGCCTCCAGCCCCTTCTGCGCAGGCGAGAGACGGGTCGTGCCCTCCCCTCCCAGGAGGGGCGGACCACGGTTGGTGTCACGTGACAGGGCGGAGCCTGCGGGGCCAGAGGCCTGCTCCGCTACGTGGGTGCGCGGCCGGGGATACCTGGATCCTTGCTTGCTCTGCCAAGAGGCTGGGTGTTCTCCGGCTCTGGGAGCAGTGGGTGGGGCAGGGCCGGTGCGTACAGGTGAGTGGGTTATTTCATGATTTTGTTGGGGGCATGAGAAGCGCCAGCAGGGATCTAGGAAATACCGTCTGATTCTAGTTGTTTCCTGGCCCTGGGTTTCCCTACCTTTAAAACAAGCGTGGCATTTACCCGCCCTATCCCCTAGTTACGGTGAAGGCATGACATTAACCAACATACCTTTAAAATTAGTCCAGCGAGGCTTTGAGCCGGAGCTAAAAATAATAATAATAAATAAATGATATAAATTTTTTTTTTTTAATTTTACAAAGAAAAATGTCCGGCGAGGATACATGGTATGGAAGAACAATCGGAGGCCAATATATTTTTTAAAACGGGGCATCTTTGAGACTGGTAGATTCCATCTCAGTTGCTCCATAAATTCTAGGCCAGTCGGCATCTTTTCAGCAAATACAATAAACACAACGTTCAGGTCATTCAGTTTCTTCTATGTCTCCTCAATTAAAACAAAAAAAGTTGTTTAAATAGAAGTGCTGCCTTTGGACGCCTTTTTAGTTGTAGAGGAAGTATGGAAACATAAACTGACAGCCCCTCCCTAGTAATTTGGGGGTTATGTCAAGCTCGACTCCAGCACCCAGCAAAGTGGAGAATCTGGTTCTGGAGTATTAACTGACACCTCAAATTTTCTGAAGATGTTTGTATAACTACATTCCAGGGCTATAATGCTCCTTCTGGTAGCTCCTTAAATGAAGTGATCAAGCCCTGTCTCTAAAGAAATGCAGTGATATCTGAAATAGGGCTGAATGTCAATTTTAGAAAACGGTGGGTTTTCTGAAATTTCGGGAGTTATGCAGGAGAAACAAGTTCTACCACTTAAGAGAAAAGATGACATGTGGATTGATGATCAGGTATCTATCCCACACCCCAAGCAGAAGTGATAGTCCTTGGAAAGATGTAGACTTGAACTGTAGACTCCTTGGGAAAGTTTAAGGGAACGCATGTAGAAAAAAGCTTGGGAGCTGCAGTGCCCTGAGGATTATGGAGTCTTCAGCACTGTAGCTCCTTCTGGTTCATTCCAGATTTGTTTGATCAACTGGGTGTGGCCACCATGCATGTGAAGCTGGAACTCAGGGAGTCTCCAGCTTGGTGTGAATTCAGTTTGTGTCAAATACCCCTCATTCCTTTACATGGTTGCTACAGGTGAGTGGGTGCGCCTTTGGTCTCTGCAGGGTTCTGCCCTGAGTCCAGCAGAATGCAAGTGCCATGTTGTAGAATTCATGGGAATGGAGGAGGATGGATGCCGTGGGTGAAGAAACTCCTTCCCTGGGTCAGCAAGTGAACCTCTCACAAGGCACTGACTTGTGCCATCCTGACCTGCCCTTGCACTGCCAGCTGTTCGGGAGAATTGAAAAAAGGTGACTCATTTAGTCAGATACTGTTTTAGGGGAATGTCATGCAGACCCTCTCCTGACTTCGTAGAAGGTTTTCTGACCTTGTCAAAAGGTTACAGAGAGGCAGATGACATGACCAGTTTTTAAAAGAGGAAGAAAGTGAGTTCTGCAAACCGCAGATCAGTGAACTTGCCATTGGGCCTGGAAAATCTTCAGGACAGATGACTTAACAAAAAAATATTTGTGACCTCTCCGAAGATGAAACACCAGTGACAAAGACCAAGTCACACTAGGTTAACCTTATTTCTTGCTGTGAAATGTATAAACTGGTAATTCAAGGAAATATGGTGGAAATATATATCTGGACTTAGAAGGTTTATTTCCCAGGATTCTTTCAGTTACTAGTGATGGAAACTCGATTCAAACTGGTTTTTAAAAGAGAGGGGGCCGGGTGTGGTGGCTCACGCCTGTAATCCCAGCACGTTGGGAGGCCGAGGCAGGCGGATCAAGAGGTCAAGAGATCGAGACTATCCTGGCCAACATGGTGAAACCTGGTCTCTACTAAAAATACAAAAATTAGCTGGGCGTGGTGGTGTGCATCTATAGTCCCAGCTGCTCGGGAGGCTGAGGCAGGAGAATCGCTTGAACCTGGGAGGCAGAGGTTGCAGTGAGCCGAGATCTCGCCATTGCACTCCAGCCTGACGACAGAATGAGACTCAGTCTCTGCCCCCCCAACCCGAAAAAAGAGGGAATATGTTGGCGGACATAACTAAAAGGCTCTGGGGTTAACTCAGCACGATCCAGGAGCACAAGTGATGTCATCAGAACTTGGTCTCTCCCGCTCTTCACTGCTCCTTTGAGTTGGCTTCAGTCTCAGATTAAGCTCCTTTTTTTTTTTTTTTTTTTAATGGTCTCACTGTGTCACCCAGGCTGGAGTGCAGTGACGCAATCTCAGCTCACTGCAACCTCCGCCTTCCAGATTCAAGCAATTCTCAAGCAATTCTCATGCCTTAGCCCCCCAAGTAGCTGGGAATGCAGGTGCGCACCACCACTCTTGTCTGATTTTTGTATTTTTAGTAGAGACGGGGTTTCACCATGTTGGCCAGGCTGGTCTTGAACTGCTGGCCTCAAGTGATCCACCTACCTCGGCCTCCCAAAGTGCTGGGATTACAGGCATGAGCCACCACGCCTGGCCTCAGATTAGGTTCTTTTTACAGAATGTCCTCCAAGAGCTCTAGACTTATATTGTCTGTCTCAGCTTAGCAGGCCCCATGGAAAAAAGGATCTTCTCTTTCAATATTTTCAGCAAAAGCCCCAGGATTTGTTTGGAATGGACTGATGCACCTGTGTGTTCATCCCCTGGAACCAATCTCTGAGGTCAGGTTGTTGGAATAACTGGATTGATCAGATCTGCACAGGAGTAGGGGTCAGCCCCACTCACACTACTTGAGTGGAGAGCAAGGGAAGGGAGGCTCTTCCCAGGAAACTGAGGTGGTCTGGTCAGAACAAGGAGGGTCGATTCTGGACAGGCAGGGAAACCTACAGATATCCAGGATGGAGCCTCTGCTAACATATCTCATGACATTGTTTAAAGGACAGGACATGGGAAGGTGGTAGGAGAAGCAGTAAAGTTATTGGATGGCTAAATCAATATTCAGAAATATTCTGGCTGGGCACGGTGGCTCATGCCTTTAATCCCAGCACTTTGGGAGGCCAAGTGGGCCGTATCACAAGGTCAGGAGTTCAAGACCAGCCCCTGGCCAACATGGTGAACCCATCCTTCTTCACTCAAACAACGATACAACAAACAAATTGCGGGGGGGGCGGGCCATCGGTCACACTCAGCTCCAGCTACTGGGAGGGCTCGAGGAGGAGCAATCACTTGACCTGGAAACACGCCGAAGGTTGCAGCGAGCTGAAAGATCTGCACCATTATACGCTCGCCGAGCTGGCAAATAGAACAAGAACCTCCGACTCAAAAAACAAAAACAAAACAAACAAAAAAAACAACTCTGAGAACCAGTTGCAGGGCCTCATGCCTGTAATCTCAGCACTTTGGGAAGCCAAGGCCGGGTGGATCACTGAGGTCAGGAGTTTGAGACCAGCCTGGCCATCATCGGTGAAACCCACATCTCATACTAAAACATAGCACAAAAAATTAAGCCAAGTGTGGTGGCACATGCCTATAATCTCAGCCTACCTTGGGAATCTGAGGCAAAGGAGAATCACGTTGACCGGGAGGCGGAGGTTGCAGTGAGCTGAGATCTTTGCCATTGCACTCCAGAGCCTGGGCAACAGGCAACACTCTGTCCTCAAAAAAAAATGACTTAGAATAGGTTTGGGCGTGATGGCTCACTGCCTAATAACTCCCAGCAACCTTTCGGGAGGGGGCCGACGGCCAGATCACACTCTGCAGCTTAGAAGTTTTTCGAGGAAACCCGCCAGCATGGGGCAACACGGTAAAGCCACCCGATGGCCCTCTACAACCAAAAATACAAAAAATTAGCTGGGTGTGGTGACACATGCCTGTAGTCCCAGCTACTTGGAAGCCTGAGGTAAGAGGATTGCTTGAGCCGGGGAGGTAAAGGCTGCAGTGAGCCAAGATTGTGCCGCTGCACTCCAGCCTGGGTGACACAGGGAGACCCTGTCTCAAAAAACAAACAAAGAAATACTTTGAATAGAGGATGAGTCCAAAAAACAACTATACAAAATAGCAGGTGATATGAATGAGCACCAGTTCTGCGTGTGTTTGACTACCATGCCTATTTTTCCTTTGTTTGTAACAAATCACCACAAACTTATTGGCTTAAAAACAACACAATTGGCCGGGTGTGTTGGCTCATGCCTGTAATCCCAGCACTTTGGGAGGCCAAGGCAGGTGGATCACCTGAGGTCAGGAGTTCAAGACCAGCGTGGCCAACATGGTGAAACCCTGTCTCTACTAAAAATATGAAAATTAGCCAGGCATGGTGGTGCACCTGTAATTCCAGCTACTCGGGAGGTGGAGGCAGGAGAATTGCTTGAACCTGTAAGGCAGAGGTTGCAGTAAGCTGAAATCACACCATTGCACTCCAGCCTGGGCAACAGAGGCAACACTCCATCTCAAAAAAAAAAAAAAAGAAAAGAAAACCATAATTTATTACCTTACAGTTCTGGAGGTCAAGGCCTAAAATTGAGGTGTCAGCAGGGCTGTGTTCCTTTCAGAGGCTCTAGGGGAGAATTGTTTGTCTTCTCTGGCTTCTAGAGGCCACCTGCATTGCTTGGCTTGTGGCCCCTTCCTCTATCTGCCTAGTCAGTCTCCTTTACTCTGGAACAGATCCTCAGCTTTTCTTTGTCCTTTAAGACACTGACATCTATTAAGAGTACAGGCCA